AAGTTTCATTAGTGTCTGGCAGATGTTTTTCTACTAGTTGGTGGTTGTTCAGCCCTTAAAAGGGCATCCAGATGGAGATAGACAGTGACACTGGTCACTGAGGACAAACAGCAGGGAACTGAGAATAAGCCCCAAAAGGAACCAAGGTTGTTCAGCCTGGAAAGGAAGGCAGGAAGGGCTGATCAGCTGTCCAGTTACTCAGGCATTCATTCAACACCTCTGTATCGAGTGTCTTCTGTGTGCTAGGCTCAGTACTGGAGATACGGTGGCCATCCAGAAAGGCATGCTCCTGCCCTCAGGGACAGTATCTGTCTCTGGAGAGAGATCCATGCAGACAACTGTTGTATTCATTGTACTTGAAGAGTAACAGCTACAAAGGACAAAGTGCTCTGGCAGCGCAGAGCTGAGGAACCTCCCCCAGTCTTAGTGCTCAGGCAAGGTTCCCTCTGCAAGGGACAGTTAGGCCAAGAACAGAGGAGCAGGAGATAGCCATGAGCTGGGAGTAGGGTGGGGACCTTTGGCAAAGGGAACAGCCTGTCCCATGGCCCTGCAGCAGGTAGGAGCAGTCAGAGAAGGTCAGTGGAGAGGTTGGGGTAGGGAGGGGAGCAGAGGAAGAGAGGCCCAGGATAACAAGAAGATGCTGGAGAAGTAGGCAGGAGGGACCAGATCGTGCCTGGGGGCCCAACTGGAAGGCCATTGCAGGAGTCCAGGCAGGTGACAGTGAACAAGTGGGCACTAGAGCGAGGGTAGTGAAGATGAAGAGAAATGGACACATTCAAGGGTGTGAAGTAGACTCAACATGGAGGATGATAAAGCGGCCGGGACACAAGATGACTCAGTAAAGATTTATTGAGCTCCCTCTCCAGGCGGGCCCTGTGCTGCTATCCAAGTGCACAGTGATGCACAAATAGACACAGCATCCAGATGAGGAAGATTCTCAGCATCCTGGTATCGTCCTCTAGGTAGTTCACAAGGCAGCAAACCCTGAAAAAGCAGCAGAATTGTGGGGAAGATGAATTTTGGATGTCGTATATGAGAGGCTATTTGAGACCTCCCAATGGAGACATTGACTGGGGAGTTGGTTCTACCGGTCAGGAACTCGAGACGGAGGGGGTGCCACGTGGTGATACAAACACAGGCGTCACTGGAGTCGGATGGTCGTTGAAGCCAGGGGAGCGAGTAAGACCCGTGTTGTTACCACTGGCTTATTTCACATCTCAACAGACTTTAGAGAACAGGAATGAGATGTATGTAAGAAACTGTTATTTAGGGGCTGGCCCCGTGGCCGAGTGGTTAGGTTCGCGCGCTCCGCTGCAGGCGGCCCAGGGTTTCGTTGGTTCGGGTCCTGGGCGCGGACATGGCACTGCTCATCGGACCGCGCTGAGGCGGCGTCCCACATGCCACAACTGGAAGGACCCACAACGAAGAATGCACAACTATGTACCGGGGGGCTTTGGGGAGAAAAAGGAAAAAATAAAATCTTTAAAAAAAAAAAAAAAAAAAAAGAAACTGTTATTTAAAACACTAGTGTGTTTACTCACCACAGAAAATGATTCAGCCTAAGGCTCACTGGTCCTCTGTGCTATTCCAGGGGATAAATGACTGAAATACAGAGATATTCTACCTGTCTGGTGGCTCCAGGACACAGGTCCCAGTGATAGCACCAGGTCAAACTTTCAGCAATGAGTTTAGCTTGGGAGGTTGGTAAAATCTGTAAACACTGCCTAGAAAACATTCACAGGAAAAGATGCTTTCCAGTCCATACACAAATACATATGTATTATGTATGGCCTTTGTCTATTGGCTTCAAAGAGTCCTAACTGTTAAAGTAATTCAGTAAGGAATAAAAACTGGGGTGATGCTAATTCCTTTATTTTTTTAGTTCATGTAAACATTGAACAGTACCTTGAGTGTTACCATGTCCTTCAGAGCCCGTGATGTCAGTGACGCGGGTCATCCATCATACCTGCGTAGTTTGCCAGCTTTCCTCCAATAAAGTGCAGAGGAGAGGAAATGGCTTTGGCATCTGAATCCTGCTCCCAAATGAGAATTTCAAGAAGGGTGAATCAGCCAGTCACATCACAATACCAAGTTCATCGTAGGGTGGGTCTCTTGACAGCATCTGCTTTTTTCCACCAATCCGTACTGCTTAGAAGACAACTTTGATCCTAACTTTATGCCTGCCATGATATCTGTGAAAAAATCTGAGGGGTCAGAACTTTATTTTCAAGGAAAAGGTGATGTTTACACCCAGGAGACCCTTTCTTCCGGGTTTCTGAGCTTTCCTAACTTCACCCAAGGATAGAGCCCATCACAGCCCCCGGCAGGGCCATCCATGGGATTGTATAGGTCGTATACTGGACAGCCTTAGGGACGCTGTTCTCATGGACTGGGGTTTGCAATGTGCAACCTGCATATCCGTTTGCAAAGATCCCTTCCGAAAACCCCCGGTGAGCTCTCCCCCATTCAGAGCTGCATCCACACCCTCAGGAGGTGGGGAACCAAGAGGAGAGGAAATAGAGGTAATGAGATGAGTAGAAGAGTGAGGATCGATCGATCAGTTCTTATGTTGAAACTAAGTTAATGATTAACAACTAGCTTATCACTGCTTTAATTTATTAACCTTTTGTCTTCCTTGAAAAGGAAAATATGAATTATCTTTAAAGAAGCTTCTTTTGTCAACAGTGGCTGCCATTTTAAGACGAAAAGAAGTGGGTGAAATTGGACAAAAACATTCCTCATGTTTTTTCCCTCCAAACTGTATTAGGTGTAAATACATTGCTTATCTTAGAAAGCAAACTAATACAAAAGAAATTTAAGTAAGCTCGTGCTAATAAGTCAAAGAACATATATATAAATGATTTCCTATCAGAGATCCTTAATAGCCTTTGTTTTCACTTATTTTTTGAACATTTATATAATTCTTGTTGTAGGTGATATAATGAGAAAATAGTAAAGCAGGTTAGTGCAGTTGGCTGACATATTGACATGTGTTTATTTTTTTAAAATCCGCAATTATGAAATCTTCTCTGGGAAAATCCAAAATGACTTTATCCAAATTTCGAATAGTTTACTTTCAGCAGCACACACCCCGTCACCAATGTTGAGCGATTCCAAGAAAGGAAGAAAGGCTTCTTTTTCTTGTCATTTTATTTACAGGATTTGTTTCTGCACGGGGGAGAAAAATGTTCTGTTTGCTTCAGAGATGGACATAGATTTCCAAGCCATTTGACTCCAGAGATGGTTTAAATAGGAATGAATTTAATATACCTTTAATTCTCTGAAATAAGAGAACTCCAGCTGAGGTTTGTTCCAGGGCAAAGCCTGCTCTCGACACTGAGGAAAATCTATTGCATTAATCCCAGCGGCTCAGAGTCCAAAGCTGCGTGAACAGAATGCTGGAGGATAGGACGTGTGAGAAGAATGCTTTGAAAGAAACTTTAAAAACAAAATGACTTTTGAGAGAATACCAGGCCTTGTGTGGAATCATGTAACACTTAAGGAAAGATATAAATAATATGCTTGAGAACATGGCTAATTAAAAATAACTCAATGCATAAAAGGAAAAGAAAACTATAGGATAACTTTTCTGCTCCAGTGTTAATGTGAGCTGCCGTATAATGAAATAGCAGGATTTTTTATTATTATTATTTCATTTCACACTGGCGTAGAAGAGATGGAAAGGAAAATTATATTGCCAGAAAATGCCAGGATAGATTTGCTAAAGATGTTGTCATATACTGTATTTAAAACAAAAATCTAATTATGGTGATTTATCATACCTCTGGTTATTAAAACCATGCTAATTTAAAGATTTTAATCATTTCCACTTTTGCACATTTCCTAGAAAATACTATGAAAGTTTCTGATTTTGTCGGCCTTTGTATGGTATTTTTTTAGGAGCTCCTAAGTAAAATTAACACGCTTTAAGCATATAATTGTATTTATATCCATAATAAAAATTCCTTGTGTTTTCCTTTTAGTTTGTTCAATGAAATATCTGGAACTGCTTTATAATTGCTCAGCCTGATGTGTGAGAGCAGAGGCTGCTGAGTCCATTTTAATTCCCTGTTCACACATCTAGCCTTGTAAAGGGCAGTGTGGACCGCACCCTTCCTTTTGGATTGGAGAGAGGATTCTTTTAATGATGGGAGAAATTTGAAAGAAAAGATTCTACTGACTTTGGCATGAATACGCTCCTTGGTATCGAGAAATCAGAGACTCATAAGACAGTCATTGAAGCAAGACTGCTTTTTAAAAACAGGCATTACATTGTACCCTCTGTGGCTGGTAGGAGATAGGTAGGGAGTAAGTTAGGGCTCATACAGTGCAGAAGAAACTATCCTGGAATTAAAGATAGTCACTATCAGGGGGAAGGGTGGAGGGAAGAAAGAGCACGTAGGGAGAGGAGGAGCCAGAGGCTAAATCCTTTCTCTGCTCTGGGTGTGGGAGGCCTCGGGAGAATATAGCCCATTTCAACATCACACAGGGGCCAAAGCAAACTGTCTTCACCCTGGGAGAAGCCTGGGGATTCGATCTGATTTTTATGCCCCTCGATCAGAGCAAATATGGCTTTATATACTCAAGGACCCATAAGAGTAGCATTATGATCCAATATGTGTATTTATTAAAATATAATTTCAAAGCAAAACAAAAAATATCTAAATTAGTTTCCTAAATCACAGGTCAGCCCGACTTCCAGAGCAAACCTATGACATTCAATATGGTCCAAGATTCAAGTTCTAGAAGCCAGAGCTTTCAGGGACTTTGAAGTCCAACCCTTTGATCTGAAAATTAAAGTTAAACTGGCTTTAAGGTCGCAGAGCGAGGACTAGACCCAAGCTTCTCAGTCCTAGTCCGTCCGTTCCTTGCTTCACGCCCTGTCCATCATCCTCTCTGAACCTGCTGCCTGAAAGCAGCTTCCGAGTGCTTTTCCCTCCCCAGCCCGTACCCAGCGCAATGCGCTCTGTCTGTCCAGTAACCAGCTGTTCTTCCTGCAGGTGCAAAGTTCCCCATTAAGTGGACGGCCCCTGAAGCAGCCCTGTACGGGAGGTTCACAATCAAGTCTGACGTGTGGTCTTTTGGAATCTTACTCACAGAGCTGGTCACCAAAGGGAGAGTGCCGTACCCAGGTAAGAGCAGGGCCCAGCAGGAGTGCGCCTCCGATGGCATGCTCTTCCAGCACCACTTGGGGGAACCTCACCCCGTTTGCCTTCTAAGCCCCATCCTCAGCTTTCTACCAAGCCCGAGTTTGAAGAATGTGAACAGGTATTTAGGAGAGCCAGAGAAAAGCAGAACTGGGAGCCACTGTGGTATGTCGACAAACAGCCACCGTGAATTATGTGCCAGGATTAATGTCATTAGCAGCTGGTACGGACACTTCAGTCCACCCCAGCTCGTAGAGTCTCTGCTCTCTCAGGAGGAATGTGTGTCTGTGGCAGAACCTCCAGCCGAATGGAGTTGGCAGACACTTCTGGGAAAGAGGAGAAAAGCCCCCAGTGCTTTTTGATTACTCTGTAGCACTGACCCGTGGAGTGGACCTGGCGGAAAGATGCCGGGACCTGTTTCCTCTGCGGGCCCCAGCTCCAGATGGCCGGAGAGCGGAGGCTCAGGGGGAGCACAGTTCAGAGGCTGCTCACTGCCCACTTCTGAACAGTGGAAATATGCTGTACAGCAGCAAGTAGAATGCAAAGAACTTGGAGATTCTTAGGCCTCAGAGTTTTTCTGGATTATCAGATTTCATGCTCTCCAAAGAAACCACGGGTTTTGGTTCTCCACGCTTAAATTCATTCCTTTAGATAGATGATAGCATAAAGTACACTCAGGCCATTTCACCTCCATGCTTTAGTGGTTATAGCGCAGGGACAGTCCACTTTCTGAAATGTTAAGGACATATTTTTCAGTTACTACTGAGAGAAGAAAGAACATTGCTCCCTCTCATTCCCTGCCTAAGAAAGGAGCTTCAAAAAAGCAGCGATAGAAACGATAGTAGAGATTAATGAGGAATTGAGGTCTCTTGCAAATCCTGGCTTTGTAATCGTATCTTTGCAGTCACAGGAGCCAGCGAGGGCAGATTAATTGGTAATCCCTTTGTTCATTTTGTATGACTGTTTCTGGTCATCTTCAGAGAATGCAGAGAAGTAAAGAGGATCTCTTTCTGGATCGGTGTAGCCTCGAGACTCCTAGGAGAGCCAGGTTGGCACAGAGGCAAAATTGACAAATGTCCCGTCTCTGAAGCTCTGGCCCTGAGCATTTAGAGACGCGGGAGGAAGTCAGCTTTATTGATGCCACGGCCGCTGCTGCTCCCAGCATGCGCCAGTGGGCAGACACTCCGGGAAAAGCCAGCCAGCCCGGAGGAAAGGGCTGCCCTGGAGGGGCCTGGAGCCCGGCGTGGGCGTCCCTGAGGTGCTTCTCCAGGGGGACATGTGCAGGTCTCTGGATTTTGAAGATGTGAAGGCCCCTCTCTCTTTATTGTCTGAATTTTGCACTAATTCCTTCCCAAGCCGCCCAAGTTTACAGTCACCTGGTGTGTTAAATGCTCTTGGGGAGAAAAGGTTAATACCGTTTGGCGTTCCTGTGAAGCCCTTCCTTCCAGCAGTAACACAAAGCCGCTTTTTATGTCCCAGGGTTGCACACAGAAGCCGAGACAAAGCGGGGGTGGGGGGGCTGGGAGAAGGAAGGCAGGTGTGTGTTGCTGACGGAAGGGCTTTCCCAAGTTTGGTTTTCTCATAAAGAAAATGGCCTCATTTTACGACTCGGACTAGGATTCATTCATTGGGCATGGCATGGGTAAGTGGGAACTGTGCCAGGCTTTTTGCTCTACCTGAGAAGTGAGTTCAGATAAGACAGTCGTCCTCTCAGCAGACATTGATTAGACCCTTCCTCGAGCTAGACACTGTCTCAGGTGCTGGGGATAGAACAGTGAGCAAAGAAATAGATTTAGTCCCTGCACTCATGGAGCTTACAGTCAAATAAAATATGCATCAAGTCCAGGAAGCAATCGGCCTCTTTTGTTATTTATTTACTATTGGAGGAAATCACCCTCAAGGGATGGAATACTTGGATTTACCCACTGTGGGCCCCAAGTCTTAATTCTGGTAATGGGGTCAGGGGCGTCTGATCCAGGTATCTACATACAACAGGTGCTGAGAGGGGCCTTGCCCCCAGAATCCTGGGAGGATGTCAAGGGCGTTTGGCATGAGAACTCAGTCCACTTGATTAGGCTTAGTTTCGTTCTGTGAGCAACTGCTGATGTGCGGGCGGCTTTGATGACCACCCTAATTCTATGCGGGTGGCAGAGAGAGCGTGCTGTACCTGGAAATCTTCACGGAGAAGAAGGCAAGTAGGGTTTCCACCTCGAGCTGAGGAAGAGGGCAGAGGGTCCCAGACAAGGATGGGCATGTGGGAAGGCACCAAGGCCTGGGAGGATGGCGCCAGTTCAAAGAGCTACAGGATAGTGAGTCTGAGGAGAGGAGGGCTGCGAGGCGAGGTTCCTGGAGATGCAGCTGGAGAAGCTGGCCACAGCCCATCGTGAGGGGCCTGGCGCACTGCCACAGGGAGCCCCTGTGGCCTGGCTGGTTGGAGTGGTGGCCAGGGAGCTGTGTCCACGGGGGAGTGACATGAACTGCTCCTCACCCACAGAAAGCCACAGAAAATTGTTTCCAGGCCTGTTCCTAGCTGTGAGTGCTTCTTGTTTTTGTTTTTAAAGACAGCTATAATCATATTTAATTGAACTTCTGAATCTCACAGTGTACTCTTCTTGAGGGAGAAGCTTCTACAGAGAGATTCCAATTATAGGATTATTACCTTAATGAAGGATAACAATTCCTAAGGAAGAGGTGGTTTCATTAGGCTTCATTCAGAAGTCCCTGTGAAAGGTGGGACCTTCCTGTCTGCATCCTTGATGTTTGTGGTGTGGCCACATCAGTCAGTGTGTGCAGAGGTCTCTACCGCATGGAGTCCTCGTGCCTTCGTGGTACCCCAGGACAGACGCCCCGTCCCTGTTCATCAGGACTTCCATTCTGACATCTGGTTGTAGGAACTTCTCAGCTGGCCAGAGTGTATTTTCAAGGAATTATTTTTTCAAGAACGGTAGGTGGTGGCACATTTTTCTGAGTTCTTTCATTCCTGAGAATGGCCTTCGGTTGCCTTCACACACGGGGAAGGTGCTTTGACTGGCAGGTGAGGGTGGAGGTCGAAGGAGGGCAAGGTGACTTATAGCTGGGCTTTAGGAAAGCTTTCCAAGCTGTTTGCCCAGCGCTAAAGAAGGTCCGGAAGTAAGAACCAGAGAAAAAGCTTAGAAGGGAGTATGTGAGGGGTGACCAAACGAAGGGCAAAGGGCCCGAGGAGACAGTAAAACATTGCATTGGTGATTAGTTAGCAAGTCTTGTAAAAGAAGGGGAAGAAAGACAATCTCAGATTGAATGAGGGCCTTGAAGCCAAAGAAACAATACTGAAATGTCACACTGAGATGAACAGGGAGATAGCGGAGAGGAGTCGCCTCACCCGACCAGACAAAAAGGTTGCCTCCAGGATGTGTGACAGAGACAGACCTGCTTCCAGAGATCAGCTCCCTTTCACAGGTTCCGTAGGAGCAGCCTGACCCGCATGCCTTCTCAGCATTGCAGTCTAGCTTGCTTTTCTGTAAGCCAAGGTTCAGAAGCATCCTTTGCACCAAGATTAGAACTGATTTCGAACTGATGGATTGTTGTCCATGGGAAATGAAAACACTTAAAAGCAGTTTTCTGGAGTTGATGCATAAAACCAGAGCTACGCATTTTAAACTATCATTGCCCCTTCAAATCCTTCTTTTCCCCTTTGCCTCCCCTGCCACTGCCCCATGTCAGACTGTCATCCACTTGTGCAATGACCTCTTCATGGGACGTCCTGCTTCCAGTCCCCACCACCACCACCATTCTATCATTGTCACCACCAGAGTTATTATCCTAGAAAACACAGACCCAGTTATCTTACTGTCCAAGTTAAAAATGTCCATGGCTTCCCCTTGTCTTCCAGATAAACTCCAGAAGCCTTAGTTTTGCACAGTGCTTCATAACTCTTTCCTTCCAGTCTTTCCACAAATATTTATTGAGCACCTGCTGTATGCCAGGGACTGTGCTGTCACCAGGAGTACAGCAGTGAACCAACAGACAAAAAATCTTGCCCTTGTGAACTTTTACTCCTCTTGGAAGAGAGAGACGATAAACAAAGATAAATAAGCAAAATAGATTCAGTGTTGGGCTGGTGGTAACAGGTAGGGAGAAAAATAAAATGAGCAAGGAGATAGAAGGTGTGAGGAGAGCATGGCCAGGGAGGCCCTCACCAGGAAGGTAACATCTGAGTAGGACCTGAAGGAAGCCAGGCTAAGCTAGGTCCATATGTGGGGGAGGAGCCTTCCTTCAGAGCAAACCGGAGCCCAAACGCTGAAGAACTGCCAGGAAGCCAGTGTGGCTGGAGCAGAGGAAGCAGGGGGTCGGAGTGGCCCCAGGGAAGATCAGAGAGGACCTCTGTAGTTATAGCTTTTGCCTTTACTCGTAGTGAGATGGGGAGTCCCTGAGGGGCTTTGCGTAGGTGACGTGATCTGACATGATTTCTCTCTCTCCCCCACCCTTCTCACCAAGACATCTCTCTCTGGAACATGCAAGTCTCTCTTCTCAGCTCCACTGTCTACCTCAGAATCCTTCAACGTCCCGCCCAGACATCCCCTCCTTTCTGTAGCCTTCTCCATGTCGAGCCCAAATGGGTCACCTCTGCTCTTGCTTCCATGACACCTCTTGAAGCCCTTGTCTTTGTATCTCTCTTTTCCAGTAGCTCTGAACTCTTCAAGGAGAAGGGAGCTCCTTTATGTATTCCCCTTGTCCAGCACAGTGTCCCCCCATAGTAAACTCTCGGTAAGTGTAAGCAGATGATGGGTGGATAGCACAGGAAAAAAAAAAGAAAAGATTATGCCTATGAGGTTTTTGAAACAAGATATTTTAATTTGGCCCATAGCCTGCAAAGCCTTTCAACTCTATTCCGTCATCTCCACACGTAAATAGAGCGAATATTTTCCCAACTACAAGGTAGCCTCTGTCCTCCAAGTTGTTCTGGGAAGTTGACCCTATGGTCAGTTCAAGCTCCATGTTCCAGCCCC